ATATATTTATTATTATAGACATCAACAACAAGAGGCACGTTGCTAAAAATATTGGGTTAACTATTCATCTCACTATCAACAACAATAATTATCTTGCTAAATAATGGTTATCAGGAACATTGCTATTGTTGCTGCAAATTGAAAATCAGCAACAAGAGCTATGTTGCTAAAAGGTTGGGGATACTCTCCTCCTTCCCTTTATAGCAACACAAACCACGTTGCTGAAAATATGGTTTCAGTAATGTGGCTTTGCTTGCTGAAAATGGACTGGAAATGGAGGGATCAGAATCCAACCATTTTTTTACCAACGTGGAGCATGTTGGTGAAAGTACACAATCAGCAATAAGGAATATTTTACTGAAAAGTGCAAAACCACTCTCCCCCTCAACTTTTACCAACATAAGCCACGTTGCTAAAGATAGGGTTTCAGTAACGTAGGTTTTCAATGGTATGGCAAGGTAGTGGATGTTTTTATGTCAAACAAGAGAGACAAGTGGGGGAAATGATTTGGGTTTGTTCGCATGGTAGGAGGGTAGAATGAGTCCCAAATGGAGAAGAGGCTGAATGAGATTTGGTTTGGGTTTTACAAGTTAAGGGTGAGGATTACTGATAGACTAGTGAAGTAGAATTCAGGGCAAGGTAAGGTGACAACTTTAGAAAATGTGAAGAGGATAACGAGTAATATGAATAGACTAGTGCAACCTAGGCAATCTTACACACAAGTTGTTGTGGGGAAGAGTCACTGGGTTGAAAAGAAACAAGTATAGGGCAAGAAAACAAATGAGAAGGACATAACTGTGCTTCATGGGGAAACGGATGTAGTGCATATGGTACAGTGTGAGGAGAATGAGGAGGTTGGATCATGTGAAAAGGAGGATGGCCAAAAAGGGATGGTAGCACGGCTACAGGAACAATCTAAAGAGGTTATCCTTGATTTTTCTCCAATGGAAAAAAAGATTCAGTGGTTGGAAGGGGGTATGGTTGCGGTACTAAAATCCTTAATGTCAATGACAAGGATTCATGAGAGGATGGATGTGGATGGGGGGTTGATTACGTTATCACCATTAGGGGGAAGATCAGTGCTGCTTAGTGAAAGGGTGAAGGGTTACCTATGTGAGTATATGGAGCAGAATAAAAAATTGTTCGATACATGGTTTGAATCCATATTACCATGGGCAGTAGCATCTCCATAGAGGTGTTGATTAGTTTGGTTACGGATATCTGGGGTCCCATTAAATGCATGGAGTGCTACATGTTTTACGATGATAAGAGGAATAGTGGGTGAAGTGGTGATGGTGCACGATGATATGGAAATGAAATCCGTTTTATGTGAAGGAAAGGTACTAGTTCTTTGTCCTGATGCACATAAAATATTAAAGTCTTTACAATTGAAAGTTGATGGGCAGCTGCATAAGATATAGGTATTGGAAGAGGAATGGGGATCAGATCTTGATTGGTGGCTATCGGATTGTGATTGATGGAGTATGATGGGAGCATCATTGGAATATTCTTCCACGCATAATGATAGTGAGGATCATGAATTTATTAATGACAAGATTTACGATGAAGAAGAAGATAAAATTGATTTGGAGTTGTTACAAGAAGAAGTGATTTTGAATTCAAAAAGTAAGCAGGAAATGGTAGGTACAAGGGGTTTTGATGGCGAGTTTCTAGAGCGTTCTAGAAAGGATGATAGTTTTGGACATAATAAGGATTATAGGCGATTAGTGGACCCGAATGGACTGCTGAATGATAATGGGCCAGGTGTGAATGGTTATGGGCTAGTCAATTAAAATAGGGTCGTAGAAAATTTGGTGGCAAAAGTCCCAATGACTCAAATCTAGAAGATGCATCATGTGAAGAGGACATAAAAGTTGTAGAATTGTCAGGCAAAAGGCATAAGAAAGTTGCAAATTAATATTCAGAGGGAGTAGTAGAAATCTAGAATGAGAAAGCAAATTGGGTGACTAGAAGGACAAAGCAGCAACAATTATAGAGGGAGAAAGCTCAGCAAATGCCATCGAATTTGAGAACGAAGGCTCAACAGGTGGAAAAAAGTGCATCTCTTTTCAGATGGATGTATCACCTATCAGAATCGAGTTATTCAACGAGAGTTGAATTTGCAAGAGGTGAGGAGAATGATTTGTGCTAGGAGAAGACTGGGTATGTAGTTTAAAGGTCATGAGGAGAAGGTGAAGCTGTGGTTGTTGGAGTTGGAAGAGCGTGATGATAGTAAGAGGCAAAATAGGTAAGGTCTTGGGTAGCTATGTGGGTAGTGTGAATGTGTGTTTGTGGTTGAATGAAGGTTTTCTATTTTAATGTTAGGGGTTTGGGGGGAATGGTGAAAATGAGGGAGTTGGGTAGTTTGGTAAGGGTAGAAAAACTAGATTTATTGTTTGTATAGGAGACAAAGTTAAAAGGTGTAGATAAGGGTTTGTGTAAAATGTTGTGGCATTCTAATGATTTTGATTGGAGTATGAAAAGCTTGATTGGAGCTTCAGAAGGCTTGCTTTGTGTGTGGAATGAGACAACTTTTGTCAAGTTGGGAGAATTTACAAGGGATGGCTATTTGGGAATAAAAGGGGTTTGGGGTGTGAAGAAAGCAATATATATATATATATATATTTTGTGAATGTTTATGCCCCAAATGACAAAAAAAAAGGTTGCATTATGGGGTGAGCTGAGACAGCGGATTATAGAGGAGGGTGAGCGATGGATGCTTGTAAGGGACTTTAATGCTATGCGGTGTCTTAAAGAAAAAAGGGGAAAGACAGGGGAGAGTGCAGATATGAAGGACTTTGATTTTTCATAGAGACGGTAGGGTTAGTTGATAGTAAGTTGGTAAATTGAAAGTTCACATGGTATAGGCCAGATGGCATGATTATGAGTAAATTGGACAAGATATTGATGATTGTGGAAATAAGCAGTATGGGCGAAGAATGGGTGTAGTAGGGATTGAGAAGAACTATATCCGATCATTGTGTGATTGTGTTGAAAATAAGGGCAACAGATTAGGGACCTAAACTGTTTAGAGTTTTGGATGAAAGGAAGCATCATCCAGATTTTAGAAAAGTAATTGAAGACAAGTGAAATGAGATTGTGGTGGATGGGTTCGCAAGATACAAATGTCTCTAGAAGTTAAAATTGTTAAAGCAATTTTTAAAGGGTTGGAATAAGCATGTTTTTGGGGATATTGAAGCTTAGTTTCAAAGTGTAGCAAATACGGTAACACAGCTTGATATAAAGAACAAGTGGATTTAGAAGAGGAAGAACTGGATGAAAGACAATAAGGTTTTCATGAGTTATGGGATATTATGAAGAAGAGGGAAGCTATATGGAAGTAGAAATTGAGAAGTAATTGGGCAAAATTAGGGGATGCCAATACGAGATTCTTCCATAAAATTGCTAATGGTAGAAAGGCTCACAATAATATTATTGGCCTTTTGTGTGATGGCAGGTGGGTTGAGGAGCCAGAAGTGGTAAAGCAAGAGGCTGTCAAGTATTTTCGAGGATTATTTGACGGTGAAACACATAATCATCCCAAGCTTGTTGGAATTGATTTTAAATAGATTTATGAAGAGATGGAAGAATGGTTAGAAAGACCATTCTCCATGGAAAAGATTGAAAAAGGGTTGAAGAGCTGTGAGGGAACTAAAGCACCAGGCCCGAATGGATACGATTTTAATTTTCTCAAGTTTGCATGGAATTGTTTGAAAGAGGATTTTGTGAGCTTTTTTGAGGAGTTTCATTAAAATAACAGGTTAGTAAAAGGGTAAATTCTTCTTTCTTAACTTTAATTCCTAAGAAGATAAACCTTATGGAACTAAAGGACTTTAGACCTATTAGTTTGATTAGCTGTGTATAAATTATTAGCAAAGGTGTTGGCTAATAGGCTTAAGGTTCTAATGCCGAGAATAATTAGTGATACCCAATCTGCTTTGCTGGGAGGTCGACAAATGGTTGATAGTGTTTTAGTCTTAAATAAGGTTGTGGAGGGGGTTAAGTAGAGGAAGTAACATGCTTTTATTTTTAAAGCTTATTTTGAAAAGGCGTACAATTGTGTAGATTGGTCATTTTTTGATTGGATGATAAGCAAGTTTGGTTTCGTATTGAAGTGGCGAGGGTGGATTAGAGAATGTCTTTCAACAGCTAGAATCTCGATTTGAGTTAATGGAAGCCCTACGAAGGAGTTTGTGATGAAAAAAGGATTAAGGTAAGGTGATCCTTTATCACCATTTCTTTTTCTGATGGTTCCTAAAGGTTTACATGGTTTAGTTAAAAGAGTAGAAACGAAAGGAATGCTACACTGTATCGTAGTGGGTAACAGGGGTTAGTTATTTCTTTGCTTCAATTTGCCAATGATACGGTGATTTTGGGGAAAGTTGATAATGAGAATATTTTCATGGTTACAATCATTTTAAGATGGTTTGAGTGGATGTTTGGATTGCAGATTAATTTTAGTAAAAGTAGTGTCATTCATTTTAATGTGTCTAAGCGATCGATTAAAGGGGCAGCAAGTGTTCTACATTGTGGTGTCGGGGAAAATCCTTTTTTGTATTTGGGGATGCCTGTTGGTGGGAAGATTGGGTGTAGGAAGTTGTTGAATCCAATTTTGAATAAATTCCAAGCCAAGCTAGCCACTTGAAAGTTTGCTGCGTTGTCTGTTGGTGGTCGCATCACTTTACTTAACTCGGTACTCTCTACTACTCCCATTTTTTATATGTCTTTATTTTGTTGCCAAATTGGGTGGTATCTAAGTTGATTAGCAATCAAAGGACATTCTTGTGGGGTGAGGGGGAAATAAAGAGAAAGATTTCATGGGTTAAGTGGGATTATGTGTGTTATAATAAGAGGAAAAAAGGTTTGGGTGTGTTGGATTTGTGTCAGAAAAATAAGGCCTTATTAGGGGAATGGTGGTTTAGATTAGGTGATTGGGTGGAGGGATTGTGGAAACAAGTAGTGCGGGAAAAGTGCTATGGCAGAAGGGAGGAATTGGATATTAAAGCAGTGGATAAGGTGAGGGTGTCTAGGATTTGGAGAGATGTTATTAGTATAGGGTTGTAATCTAGCATATTAAAGAATATGTTGGTGAAGGGGTTAAAATGGGTGGTAGGGGATAGTAGTCAAGTAGGTTTTTGGAGAGCGGTTTGGCTGGGGGAAAAGACCCTAAGGGATTTGTGTCGTAGATTGTTTAAGTTGGCTCTGCATAAGGATGGTTTAGTTAGTGACATGGAGGTTAGGGAGGACAGTAGTTGAAGATGGAATTTAACTTGGAGGAGAGGGACGTTGGGAAGAGAAAGGGATGAGGAGTTGTTGTTGTGGGAGGTCTTGAGTAGAGTTCATGTGATACCCCAAAAATTTGTAGAATAAATAAGTGTGAGTTAGGGACTAACTTGTGAGGAAATATTATTAATGAACCTAATGGCAATTTGTGTTAAATGCAAAGGGCTTAAAAGAGAAAAGAAATTGGATAAGGATCAGCTATTTTTCCTTCTTTCTTCCTCAACCATTTCGCGTTTCTACTCTTCTTTTCTTCCCCCCGCACAGAGCAAGGAAGCCCAGCCACCGACAACCCTCCCTTGAAGAAAAATCGGTAAGACTTGGTGATTTCTCCTTTCTTTTCTTGCTCAATAACAAGTTTTAGGACTTAGAACTCTCTTTCAACCCAGAATTTTCCAAATCTGCACTGTTTCCTTTCCCCTTGCTGTCTGTCGGCTTCTACTATATGTGATTTCTGGGCATTTTTTGGTAAGCCACAGCCATAAACTTCATCTTTTCAGCTTGATTTGGCTTGGGTTTACCTTAATTTCTCTTGGTTCCTCTCATTTTTTGGAGATGTCTGGTCGTATGGAGACTGATAGAAATAGCATCGTGATTAGGGGTAGTCCTAATGATGATTTCACTTTGAATTTGCAGTAGTGCGGTATTAATTTTGGAATATTTTGGCTAGGTTCCTGATCGTTTTGTCAGTTTAGCACTGAGATCGAGTCTTCGATTTTATGCGAGTGAGGTAAGTAAATTTATGGTAATGCCTGTACAGTTTTTAAAAGCATGTTTTGACTTGTTTTTGAAGTGGTAGCGGGACTAAACCCGTTTTATACAAAAGTAAGTATGATTGATTTGAAGTGAAATTTTTATGCTTTTCATTAAATTGAGCATGCTTACTTGAAATTTAATTGATTGTCCTGATGATCTAAAAGTGATTGGTGAATTATGGTTTTTCTGTTAACTTCTGCTTGGTTTGTCTCCGATGTGGTCATGTTATTAGTGTGCCCACCAGTGGGAGGTTTATAAATGCTAGCACATGTCGACATGTTATTGATAGAACCGGTTCATTCGAGTGACCCTGCTAGTGGGGGTTATACACCAGCAAATAGTGTAGCCTGCCAGTGGGAGGTTTATAACACTGGCCATGACCTATAGAGGAGACGTCTATTTCATTCCCGTACTGTTTCTGTTTTTCATGATTACACTTGTTGGCATGCTATAAGTTTAATTAAGGGCACTCCATATTTTACTTACTGAGTTTATCTCATAGTTTTTCCTTGTCCAGCATTTCAGGAAGCGAAACCGAGGATGGGGAAACCATGAGAAGTGACGAGTTAGAAGGCTAGCCATTTCAAGATTGATATAGATTTTAGAAATAAATCATGCTTTTGAAAGATAGATTTTACCTTGAATTTATGAGATCAAAACAGATTTCGGTCATTAGATCAATTACTTGGATTTAAGTCATTTTGGATATAGAAATAAATTGAGATGTTTGATTTAAGTTATGGAGTGGTATCA